TCATTTCCTAGAGATCAAAAGCATCGAGGAGGATATGACGGTAAGCCCGGACTCTCGCGTTCCTGTTTCTTTGACCCCTCTCAATTTAACGCACCCCGACGTCCACGGCACAGCCCCATTAATACCACCACCCTGCACTGCTGAGAGCTCACGCCTCGCTCCTAGGTTGTCTGCGGAACCCACCACAGCGAGGGTGCAAACCACCCGCCTCCTGCCTTCGCCTTGCATGCCCAGAGCCACGGGGAGACTCAAGGTCAGGGGAGGATTTTTCTTCTTCTCGACTCTCCTGGAAAGCACACTAAGCATCGCTGTCACACCAGCTGTGACCGCTGCCGTGTGTATGTAACTCCCACGAGAAGGGTAGAGCTGGAGTCAGTGGTCATCGTGGCTTTAAAATGGGAGAAAATGCCGAATGAAGGTACGGCCACTGCAGCCCAGTGCATCTGGGGGCCTTCGGCATATCAGCCCCCTGCAGACGATGGCCGTGCAGGTGGACGACAGCAGGTGGACGACAGCCCCTCCCCCTTCCTAGACCAGGCACCCAAAATGCCCCCCTCCCGCCACCCGCTGAACAGAACCCTCCCCCTTCCTAGACCAGGCACCCAAAATGCCTAAACCGTCTCCTGAACCGGCAGAGAAAGATGACAGAGGGCATTTTGCTTTTCCGATGGAACAAGTCACACCCGAGACTCGATAAGGGAACTTTTGCTGGACTCTCCGACTCAAATCTCATTGTTCCTACTGGAAATGCGATTGGTTTTACAGCAATATGCTTTGACGACAGAGTTCTCAGGAAGCCACTGAGATGAAAGGGTGAAACTGTTCGATATGACGTTTCCGTAAATGAAAACGAACATATGAGGTAGATACTAAGACTCAATTTAAATACCCAGCATCGGGCATTTTACTGGCGTCACAAGCCCAGGAGTCAGCAGGGGCCAAGACTCGACCCTAAAAGCACAGCCCAGGCTGAAAAGGCTTTCCTTAAAAGGGGTGGGGTCTCTGTGGGTGGTTTTGGTTTCGGTTTGCTTTTCTATAAAGACTGTCTCTTCTGTCCCTTCCCTGGGTGGAGGTTACGAGTGTGGTTCACCCTGTGAAAACCCATCGGTATCCGTGCTGAGTGGGAGCACTTGTCTGTATGGCGAGCCTCTCAGGAGAAACACGGATGAGTCTCTGTAATTGGCTGAACTGTGTCTCCTAAAGATGCGTCCGAGTCCTAACCCCCCGAACCTGTGAATGTGAGCTTATTGGTACACAGGATCTTTGCAGACGTAGCCGAGGGAGGCTGGGCCCGAACCCAAGGGGCAATAAGAGGGACGGCTGGACACAGATGCACAGGCGAGAGGAGCCTGTGAAGGTGGACACACGGGAGTGACGCCATCGGTAACGCAGGGACGCCCGGAGCCGCCAGAAGCTGGAAGGAGCGAGGAAGACAGGTGCCTCCCCCGAGCTTGGAGGGGAGGCGGGCACACCTCGACTTCGGACATCCAGGCTCCAGAACTGCGAGACAATAATACAGTGTTGTTTTAATATACTACTTTGTAGTACTTTGTTATAACGGCCCTGGGAAACTAACACGGCCTTCCTTCTGCTGTAAGAAAAAAGCTACCCAGACATCATGAAGAGCTGCCCACGCAGCCACCCAACGGTTCCTGAATGGGGCCCAGGTGTCCCAAGCCTGGGCTCCTGAGAACCCACAGCAGCCCCCCACGGGGGGCTCTTCCACACCCCTCCCGCTGGCCGCCTGCCTTCCGGGGTCCTGGCGGGTGACTCCACCAGTAGGAAGGACGAGGCCTCCTTTACGAGCTGGAGCTGCAGGTCTTTGAGCACGGGGTGGGAGGGGGGCTCAGCGTGACGCCGACATCAGAACTCTACCCTCCGCTGTCGAGGACTCACGGGCTGGGTGCCAGGGGCTGGAGAGAGAGAATAAATTCTAAGTCTCCCCCAGATATACGAACCCACACTGAAGGGAAACCACTGTACCCCTTCTGCACATCGGTTTTCCTATGCACAGAATCATCGGTTCACTCCTGAACCGATGTGTTAAGATCACTTTCAGCTTTAAAATTTCGCTATTCCAATACCACGAGCGGAGTTCTGACCGCGGGTCGAAGTCGACGGTCTCGAAGCGCAATTCACGCAGCTTCTGCACAAATAAGGTGTGACTCGGCAACGCAATGAACTCCTGACCCTCACGACCCGGACAGACTCCCGAGAACCGCGCAGAGGGACGATGGCCGACCCCAAAAGGTCACGCGCTATGTGAGCCACGTATGGAAACGTCATGAAATGATACGATTAGGAAAGGCGAGGCCGGGAGTTAAGACGGGTTGGGGCCAGAGAGAAGCCGGTGTGGCTTTAACGCAGCCGCGTGAGGCGCTTATGGTGACGGAAATGGCCCGCGTCCCGCGGGGATCCTGTGCCAGGGCTTTGCAAGGTGTAGTTACCACGCGGGACCCGAGTGCAGGGTCCACGGCCTCTGTCTACTGTACTTTGCTATCTTGTGCTTCGCACACGTTTTACTTATTTATTTTTTATTGTTTTACAAATGGAAGGCAAGAACCTCCACCGGCAAAAAAAGATGACAACCACTTTATTGAGAGAGTCACTTTATTGGAACCACACGATATTTGTGATGTATCCTTCTACATGCGTGTGACTCTGCAGTTACCTCAGAGTCAAAGTTTAATAGGACAGACTGGCAAAGGGGCTCATGAGGCCACCAGGGCTCTACATGGCGCAGGAGGCGAAGGAACTTGGCTGACCCTTAGACGGTCACAGTGACAAACAAGGTAGGGGCCCGCTCCCCACGGCTTACCGACCGTGGGAGGTCATCTTCATGAGGAAATCGGGGTGCTGTGCAGAAGGGGAAAGCGAGCCACGAAGCCAAGCACCAACCGGCGTCCACTACACGCCTTTGAGGTGACGATTCGCACGGAGCAGCCAGTCAGCGGGCCACGGACTCACGCACTCTGTAATCTGAAGCCACTTTTAAAAATATTAGA